GCTTCACTTCTCTTGGGCTATTACGACTCAGTGTGTTCCAACTAGCATACGTATCTTGTATCGTGCGCGAAATCATACAAAAATTATCACTAGGAATATTAGTCATCTCTAACAATTTATATTTCATTGTATCAGTAATTTTATTTGAATTGATACAGTTTCTTTATTCGTTCAAAAGAACCAAAGTTGGTAGTAAATTTATTACACATATTTATTGATGTACTTACAATAGTTGGTTGACTATTCTGATCTTTGATTGCTTGCAATAGATGGTTGACTATTCTGATCTTTGATGTACTTACAAATAGGTTGACTATTCTGATCTTTGATTGCTTGCAATAGGTGGTTGACTACTCTGATCTTTGATTGCTTGCAATAGGTGGTTGCAATAGGTTGCAATAACGACATTTGATTTACTTTGATTTCGGAGAAATATCATTAGTAATTTTATTTTTAGGGCGTTTGTCCAGTAATTTTGATAATAAACTTTGTGTAGCATTGCGTTTAATCATATTAACATTAATAGTTATCCTTTTAATAAAATTTAATACAAATAAACTCAAAACAAAATGCAAAATACAATAAAGTTTTGTAATAAATAATGATACAATTTACATTTAGTCAGTTATCACTACCTACTTGATATCATGGCTAAATACTTAATATAAGATAATTAGTAATACCACAGATTATATGATACTAACTCTGTTCACTCGGATTGTAAACAAAAATCACAGTAATACGGCTCTGTAGTAATATTATACGTATTACGTAGTAGTATTATACGGTATAGAAGATTATCTTCTATACCGTGCAAAAACTATGAATATCATCACCACGACAAAATCAGTGTAACTACAGTGCATGCATAAAATTCTTATTAAGTATGATATCATTACGATTTACAATCTTTATCAAACGGACATTTTTAAAATAAATTATTAAATAATTTATTATTTAGAAAAAAATACAAGCTATAGGGGAGGGGAAGCGAATGCTCTCTTCACACCCCCATTTTATGTTAAAATTATATTTAGATAAAATTAAATACTCTGCTTTGGTCAGTTTTATGGTATTTCTTACTTTTAATTTTTTATTTTATTTGTCTATATTTTATCTTTACATAAGCTGATTTTATTATATTAGTTTAATTATGAAATGAAAGCTTGTTTTCTTTTTGTGATTGTTTAAATGATTAAGATTCTCTTAAAGGTATGTTTATATTCATATATATATATATATATATACATATATATATATATATATATATATATATATATATATATATATATATATATATATATATATATATATATATATATATATATATATATATATATATATATATATATATATATATATATATATATATATATATATATATATATATATATATATATATATATATATATATATATATATATATGTATATATATATATATATATATATATATATATATATATATATATATATATATATATATATATATATATATATATACACACATAGGTAGATAGATATATAGATAGATAAATAGATATTTTTTACATTTTTTCAAAACTATTTTATACTTTTCAAAACTATTTTATACTTTTTAAATATATTTTATTATAGTCCATCAAAGAAGATACTCTTAAAAAAAAAAAAAAAAAAAAGAATTCAAGATAGGTATTGTTCTTTGATTTTTAACAACTTTTAACTAAGCATCCAAAAAAATCTTTTTTAAAAAATGATAAAAAGTATTACATGGGTTATATATTTATTTTTTCAGCGATCACAATGGATCAGAAAGGTAAAAATTCATGTCATTTATAAATTATTAATTTTCTGTTATATTATAGTTATGTTTTATAATTTTTTTAAATTTTTTTAGTTTTATAATTAATAATTTATAAATTATTTATTTTCTTTTATATTATAGTTATGTTTTATATATTTTTTTTTAGCTTGCTAAAGGTTAGACCTAAGTATGTATCTTCATTCAGGGTTGCCACTCGACATGGAAAATCTTGAATACCTAGAAATAACACGAATCGTAGGAAAAAACTTGGAAAACTCAGGGATTTTTACAAATTATTATAAAATTCAGGAAAAACTCAGGGAAAACAATTTCTTTTTTGAAATTTTGTACAATAGTTTTTTTTTTCAAAAATATATTGCTAATACATATAAATATATGTTTGCAAAATGTAGGTGTTGTTTTAAAAATTTTAAATTTGATTTTTAAAATGGTTTTATATTTAATAAAAATAATTGTTTGATAATTTAAGTTTTTGTTATAGAAAAGAAAATTTGGTTTTTATTGTTTAATTGTTGAGTTATTTTGTAAGTAAGTTTACCGATTAATCATTGGAATTTGATTTTAAAGATGTTGTAAAGATTTTTATTTGTTTATTTGTTAGGCGCCAACAATGGGATAAACAGGAAATTCGTTTATGACCTTTATAATGACAAACAAACTGAGATTAATAACATTGCACTTTAAAACCTCTATTTGTATAGGGTTGCTATACAAATAGAGGTTTACTCAAAAACTTTTAATTTTTTTGTTTTTTGTTTAGACTTAGAGTTGACTCGAGGTGGAAAAGAAAGGAAAGACTCTTTTTTTTGTGTATTTGGATTGATTTACTTATATTTATATTTATTGTTTAACCAATATATATTACTTAAAGAGAAGTTTTTAAGTACACTTATATTGTAAATGTACATAGAGGTATGTAATATAATCATATTATTATGCGTTTGTATATACTTTATCAAAATTATTAATAATTTTTTTGAAAGGGTTTATTACTTTACTAATTTATTATTTATTCGTGTATTTGCTGTTGGAGTAAAATGTAAATCACGGAAATTTTAATATTTTTTATGTAAATCAAAAAAAGTTTGTTTTCAGAAAATATTTTCAAAAACATACAATCGATTTTATATATATAATATTTGCTAGAAATAATTTGTTTAAATTTTCGTATGAACGGAATATATACTGCAGCATTACTCTTATTTATGAAAACTATCTGGAAGCTGAGTTGTTGCAACTTTTCCGTTATGCAATATTATTTTGAGATCAGTGTTTAACGGGAAAAAACCTGTTTAATTTAAACGGGAGTATCCGTTTATTTACGGAATAGTTACGGCGACTGAGATGACCAAACCTCCTGTTATTTAACAGAAAAAACCCGATTGTTGAAGAAGGCTTCCGTTTACATGCGATGGGTTTTTCCGTAAAATAACGGGTGGTTAGGTCATCGGCAGCTGTCGGAACTTTTCCGTGAAAAACGCGCTATATTTTTAACAGTATATATGCATCATAACCCACACTGGGTTCAGAATATTTTTGTAGAAATCTTATAAACGATAGTTTTGATTGCTTTAATCAACGTAAATTTCGTGTACCTTCTAAACTAAAAAAATTTATCAGCTCTACCAATTTATCAAAGGATTACTGATAAAACCCGTTAATAAATAAATAAAAAAAACAAGAAAACATTAAAGCTCTATATCAAACCAGCAAAATCATTTTAGTCAGCTTGAGTGGTTTCGCGGTGACAAGACATCACGGTCTTCTACGAGTTTTCCGTTTCTTTATTATGCTAGTTTTCATTATTTTCTAACGATGTCTTTGTTTTTAATTAATTTAAATTAATGTAAGAAAACTTTTTATTTTATTTAAAATTGTATAAAGATAGTAATAAAAAGAAAAAAAAATTATAAAAAATTATAAATTTTGTTATACTGTTGAAAACATTCTACAAAAATCTTTTTTTTTTTCCTCCCTGTCAAGTTACTTTTTACTTATCCTTATTTTGACATGATAGACTATCTAATAACGTACAATATCTAGATTTTTATTACCCTCCAAAGCTTTTAGACCTTTTAGAGGTGTACGTTATTAAAAAGAAATTTTCAATAGTTAACGCCTATTTTTTTCTAGGGGCATAGAAATTTTCTTATTGGTTTTAAAAGATAGTTCCAATTGAGTTTTTCCTGACATGATTGCGTTTTTTGCATTTCGCTCAAAGACCGCGTAGACTAAATTAGCTGCACAATTTAGAATTAGACATAATTTATTGCGGGAAATAGTTCCAATAGTTGCAAGTTCTGTTTTTATGTTTATTGTAAACAGGGCGGAAACTGTCTTAGGCAGTTACCGCCCTGTTTACAATAAACATGAAATGGGCTTAACATTACGATTAGTAAAATTTATATGAAACTGAAATTTGCATTGAGTTTGTGGACGTGCTCAAAGAATAATATGACTAATAAAGCTTAAAGTATTGTTGCAACTTATAATCGAAGAAGCCATGCAAGGGGGCATCCATAAAGTACGTACGCAGTACTACCCCCTCCTATATATATATGTATATATATATATATATATATATACATATAACATATATATATGTATATATATATATATATATATATATATATATATATATATATATATATATATATATATATATATATATATATATATATATATATATATATATATATATATATATATATATATATATATATATATATATATATATATATTAGGGTGTTCCAAAAAAATGACTTTTTTGAATTTCAACTAACATTGCTTTTCATAAGGTGCCCCAACCTTGATATTACTAATAAATTTTTTTTTTTTTCATGATTAAATTACTCCATGACTTCCCTCAATGAGCCCAAAGGTCATTTTTTGCCCGTTTTTTGCCCATATTTCGGACTAGCTGAGGGGAGTGTTACCATTATCCAAATTAATTTTTCTTTCTTTTTTTTTGTTGTTTTATATTTTTGAAGGAAATAAAAATATAATGTTAAGCTTAATTTTTTTTTTTTACTTAAACATTGAAGACCAAAAAATTAAAAAAAAGGCATTTTTAAGCTTTTTTGCGCTATATTAGTGTTCTGCTTATTAACAAGATACTTTACGTATTAAAATATTTATATTTTCATAATAAAATCATATTTATGATTAGTTTCTGAAGAAATTAGTTGTCAAACATAGTTCATGTTTATAAATTTATTTTGTAAACAAAGAATTCTTTACATAATCACATTTTTTTTTAATTGTTCTTTCACTCTTATATTTGTTTGATACGAGGAAGGTACTTTGTCTTTTATCCTCATTATGCGATTTATTGATCAACTCCTATTAAAGAATATTTAAAAGTAATGAGCTTGTAAAATAAATTAAGATTTTAACATAAACATTAAGGACCAAACATATAAAATAGTTACCTGAACTAGTTTTATAGCCCTCTCACTACAGTCATTTACTACTTCAAGATTATTCACAAATTGTTTGAATTCTAAGTAATAGTCATTTAGATCCCATGTCTCAGATGGAGTCTTAAGCCACTGTACTTCAGCATTTGCATGGTTTAAGATATGAAAAATTAACCAACTTTGGTCAGTTATAAGCGGGGTCAAACTTGGGGGAGTATCATCATTAAACATAAGGGAGTTCAGTATATTTAAATTAACTTGATGTTTTTCTATGGCATAAGTTGTAGGTCTTGGGGTTGAGTACAACTTCTTGGCAATGTCACTCCGTTCTTGTACATTTTTGTCAACAAGAGACATAACTAAAAAATTTGGGTCTATGTACCAGGTGTGTCTCTTTAGAGACTCTATAACAGGTTTTGCCTGGACAGGATTGATTTTTGAGTATCTCATCATCTGCCAAAGAGCTTTCATATCCTAAAGTTTTTTAGACTATGAAATATTACACAAAATTTTCAAAGATAAAAAAGTAATAAAAAGCAAAATGATTAAAAACTTTTAAAACATAGAAATGTCACCTGATATGGAGCGACAGCCGGAATTTCAGCCTTTATAAACCACTCAGTGTAAAATACAGCTGTGAAGAATGCCATATCTTTTATTACTTTCTTCTCAAAATCTGTCAAGCTAGAAATGTTGTTTAGAAGGAGATACATTTTTAGAAAGTATATTCCCTTTGCCATAAATCTGGCATGGTGTACAGGCCCTAGTTTTCTTAGCCTGAACTGTTCATCACCAGATAAAACCATTGTTGTCAATTCCACTAACTCTAGATAATCAGACCTACATCCATCCTAAATAAGATTGTTTATTTAGACACAAAACAGTACCTTACTAAACTTATTTTATTATAGAGTATTCACTTTATTCAAAATTTTAAATACCGTTTTCATTGTTTTCATTCTGATAATATTTTGAGAAAAAGATAAGGCTTCTTTGAACTGTACCTGCAGCCAGCTATCAGAAATATCTTCAATTTTTACTTTGTTTAACACAATGGAATTTTGATCAATTGAGTTCCATTCATCTTTAAGCTTCTTAAACAATGGATTATCTGGACCATTTATTTTACTGCTTAGATAAATGTTCCAGCAGTGAATAATATGCCTTTCATAGATGTGATGCCTACATGCTAGGAGAAGTAGTGGTCTATCAAGCTCTGCAGCTAATCTAATGCACAAATAATTATATATAGGTAGTATTGTAAAACCTCTATGCCAGTAGGAAGTTTATAACATTCTTTAAGATAATAATTCTGACTGTGAATATGTAGCAGATATAAAAAAAGAACAATCTACCTCTGTTGTTTTGTTACCAAAAATATATATATTGTTATCTAATTAAGCAGTCACAACTATTTTTTGGCGTAGTTATAAAAAAATAAAAATAGGACATTAGACTTAATGTTTTTATTACAAAAAAATTTTATATATATATATATATATATATATATATATATATATATATATATATATATATATATATATATATATATATATATATATATATATATATATATATATATATATATATATTGTTATCTAATTAAGAAGTCACAACTATTTTTTAGCGTAGTTATAAAAAAATAAAAATAGGACATTAGACTTAATGTTTTTATTACAAAAAAATTTAAAATTTATAACTAGCATTAAAAATGTAATTTTAATTAATGGTAATAGGTTAAATTTGATTAGCGTTCTTTAGGATGATCCAAAATAAGGTTTTGAATTTTTCAAAAAAACGCAGACCTAGAACGGTTGAGTTGCTATTACGCATGCGTTCAAATTATAAACCTTATTCTGGATCATCCACGCTGAAGTTGTTATTAAAGGAGCTTCGCAGATTGAACTGTTAATATAAAAACTCTGATGTGTTAAAGTAGAGTAGTTTTGTAAAAATAAATTATTAAAAATTGTTGTAATAATAGAGTTATACAATTATTAAAAGTAATAATTTGTGCAATTGAGTTCTCTAAATCAAGTTGTTGTGAAAGTTAATGGTAGTTTACTTGGTATTGAGTTATGGTATTTATGGCACTATGTACACTAATAGTACCATAAATACCATAGTAGAATGTTTAACTTACTAAATCATTATATTAATAGAGATATATAAAGGGTAATATATATAAATATATATATATAATTATATATATATATATTTATATATATATATATATATATATATATATATATATATATATATATATATATATATATATATATATATATATATATATATATATATATATATATATATATATATATATATATATATATATATATATATATATATATATATATATATATATATAGGTACGCGCATTTACGTCATTTACGGAACCGATTTTTGTGATAAAATCTTGTGACTCGTTTTTTTCACTTTTTTTTAGGCAGCGTGGGGTAGACGTAGTTTTGTGGAGTTTCTTTTTAGAAACATATATACACATAGATACTTTTTGGAAAGAAGAGAAGCTGATCTTTATTTTTTTTAAACTTTTATGTATGGTTACTAAACTTTTTAACGGATTATTTTGCTCCTGAATATTTGGTTGATGTTTTCACATAAATTTGTAGTCGAAGGCATGAAGTTTCCGCTTTTTTGATTGTTCAGCCACCTTTATACATGTATTTTCTATTTATGTACCAAATTTCAACGAAAAATATTAGGGAGCAGATATGTAACGAGGTGCTTTTTTAAATATACTGCTTTTTTGAAGGAGGGTTAGACTAACGTTTTTAGTGGTGTTTTTTTTAGAAACATATATAAACAAAAAGTATATTTGGAAAGAAGAAAGGTTAGGCTTGATTTTTATAGTACTTTTATTTATAACCACTAAACTTTTTTATGGTTAGTTTTGCTAAAAACTTTCGTGAAAATTTCATTGATGTTCTCACATTAAGTTCTTATCGAAGGAATGAAGTTTCCGCTTTTTTTGTTATTCAGGAACTTTTTTGCATGCATTTTCTTTGTACATGCCAAATTTCAGCCAAAAATATTAGGAGCAGATAGTATAAGAAGTGTAGGACTTTTAGTACCTAA